CACTAGAGGGGCTCCGGTCCCACAGGGCTGGGCATGTGGATCCCAGAATCTCCACCCCACTCACTGCTGCATCAGAAGGGCGGAGAGCAGGTCCCCCAGAGGTTCTGCACACATGTTCCCTGTGCAGTAGTTTTCAAATAACTTCAGGGTGTCCACAGAAACACCTCCCAGAGCTCATGTTTTCTTTCAGCCCTGGCTGGGAACCACCAGCAGCAAGGTTCAGTGGGAGGACACGGGATTTGGAATCAGCAGACACGAGATGTCGGCAGGGAGGATGCCCAACGTCTCTGAAGCTTGTTTGTTTGTTTTGTTTTCTTCTGTTTTCCACCTTTTCAGGCGACGACGATGTTTGTGAAGGTGCTCTGTCACCTGCTTGTTCTTAAGTAGGCTCATTCACTGTCAAGTCCACACTGGCTCACAGCACAATGAGCCTATGGGCACTAGGGGGAAACCAAGGGAAGGCCGTCTGATCAGGGAACAGCCTAAGAATGGTGGAGTCAAAGCAGGTTTTCCCACCATACCTGCTGGCTGCCCAGTCTGCGATGGAGCCGGGAGTACCCAGCATGTCAGACAAGCATCCCTCTCCCCGCCGCCAGCTACAGCCCCATCCCAAAGCAGCCTTCTATTGTCCCCTATGAATTCCATTTTTTTAAAAAATTTAATCTTAAATTAGCAAACAAAATAACTTGTTTTCTCATGACAGTTTCATACACACTTGGTTTGGGTTGATGGTGCCACGCTCCTTCCCAGCTTCCCTTGATTGCATCCTTCCATTCCCAGTGTTCTCCTACTTCTGTATCACATGCATTCTATGACCCTGCCCCTCCATGAAAGTCTCTTTTTCTCTGCTCATGGGATAGTTTCTAGTTTCCTGTTGACAAATGGGATTGTATGAGACTCTGGTCCCAGGCCACCCCCTTCCCTTCTGAGGGCCAGAAATCCTAGTGTTCTGTGAGCTTGGAGCCTGCCTGCTAGAGACATAACTAGGTGACCTGGGTGTGTTTACAGAAGCCTTGGGTAGCTGCAGCAAAGGAGGCCGAGGAGGTTCAGCTACATCAACAGAGCTGTTAGAGTTAAATAAAGCATAGAATGACCCCAGCTCCTGTCACCCACCACAGATACCCAGTATAAAACCAGCAAGTGTATACAGTCAGAAAAAGATAGATGCACCAAAATCGTCTGTTTCCTTACAGCTCTATGAACAAGATCCCAGAACTGAAGTGAGCAGTGTGCCCTCACCCCAGAGCATCCTTACACACTACCCCCAGAAAACCCTAGGGTCACGGCTGTCTCCCAGAACTCCTTCTCAGAGCTTTCTGAGTCACCCACGAAGTGGGACAGTAGTGGGTGGGGACACCTCTGATAAGGGTGGTGGAGAGACCGGTGTGCAGACTTTGGGACAGGCAGAGCAGTTGGAGTAGGGTATAGAGTGGAGGTGGGGATGCGGGAACCCGGGAGGCAGAATTTTCTAACAGTATTATGAGCTGCACATAATCTTTCCTCAATAGATGTCAGTGGACTCTGCTAATAGATGGAGGCTCTACAAACAGGGGGTGCTTTGTGAGACAGAAAGGGCACTCCAAACAGCATCAGTGTGCCAAGGCGCTTTCCGGTTCCCTGAACAGCAGCTCTCTCTATACACAGAAAACAGCGAAGACATCAGGGACCTGAGGAACAGGTGGCCACATGATTACTGCCCTAGGATTAAAGCCACAAACCAAAGAACATCTGCTGGTGTGTGCAGAAGGGGGGATGTGGTCTGTTTCATGCTCAGTTGACCAGTCTGTTGGCAGTCTGGCCTTGACCCTTCTCTGTGGCTCCCCTGCCGTCTCTGGAAAGGCTCAGAGTATGGCTGCTTCCCAGCTGCTTCCCTTTGCATGGCATAGCAGGGTTCTGATCATGATGACCAGTTGTGGGCCAGTGTGGGCTGAACCACGCATTAAGAGACAAGTGGAGCTGCCTTACAGTCTGTGGGCACCAGGCACCTTGTGGCATCATTTGGCCCTTCTGGCTTACAGTCCCACTGAACATCTATTATTTATGCCAGCCAAGTGGCTTGGAACAAGCTGAGACTCAATTAAGATAATGTTCCCCGCACAGAAGCGGCTGTTAACGCTGGGAAGTTATTCCCACCAAACCTCCCTCCCCCTTCTCACCACAGAGCTGGAGGGGCCGAGATCAAGAGGGGGTGGGTAAAGAAGCCCAGAGATGGAATGGAGGAAGCATAGATAGAGGAGAGGGTTGTGGACACACCCCCAGCAGGGACGGTCCTGTTAGGCGTTGTCCCGGGGCTGTGGCTTTGGCATCCCCTCCTGCTCCCTGCTGGAACTCACTCTTCCTGGGTTCTCAGCACAAAGAGAGGCTTCCTCTCTGAGGAATGTGGGTGGTGCTGATGAGGGGCAGGGGTGGCCAGAAGCAGTCTGACATGGCGTTGGCTGGGCAGGGGCTCCTGGTTAGGGGAAGGCAGAGGTGAGTGTAGAGTAGACTGTGAAGTGTAGGGGTGAGGAGAAGGGAGGCAAAGTTCACAACAGTGGCTTGGGACAAATATGGAGGAGGTGAGAGAGAAGGAGATGCCTGGTGTGGAGAGGCCTCTGAGCTAGGGGACCCGGTCCATCAGGGAACCGCAGTTCCGCAGAGAGGACGGGCCAGCAGCAACACCACAGTCCTCACTGAGCCGAATCTTACCGACTGCCCTGGCTCCCACATCGGAGCTTCCTAGGCCTCTCTGCCATGTCCCCTGCACGTAAGGCCACTAGCTGGAGGGTCAGCCTGGAGAGCGAGGTCTGAGGGCATCTGGGCACTGGAGTCAGCAGAAGGAGCCGGTCCAGAGCTGGATACAAGGCAGTGGCTAGCAGGCCTCATCCCTGTCTTCCACACCCGCCGCACTGCGGCTGCCCCGGCTTCACCCGCAGCAGGTCCCAGAGCAGCAGCTGTGGAGGATGCTGCGGGCGGGGAGCAGGGCCCACTAAGTCCAGCTGCTGAGCCTCCTGCTCTGATGGCGAAGGTCCCCTGTGGTCAGCAGTTCCTCCCTCCTTCCTCATCGTCACTGTTTCCTTGGTATTCGCTCTTCCGCCCCCGACAACGTTTCCTTTCCTCCCACGGGCCGTCACCCACTTCAGATGGAGTGTTGCACCTCAGGGTGCTTTCAAACTCCCTATAGTAGGTTGGTTTGATTTCACTTTTATTTAATTTTGTGGTCCTAGGGAGGTGGTAAACGTGGGGTCTTGTACTTGCCAGGAAATGCCCTATCTGTGAGCTACCTCTATAGCCCTTCTCTCTGAAAACTTTCCATTTTGAGACAGGTTCTCAGCTAAGTTGTCTGGGCTAGCCTGAACTCACTCTGGGCAGACGTCTAACTTGTGATTCTCCTGCCTCTGCAGCTCCTGCAGCTGGAGTCCCAGGCCCCACCCACTCTGGTTAGTTTAAACAGAAACTAAATATCTGAAATGGCTGGAGAAGCCAGATCTTTGGAAGCAGCTACACAGCTAAGAACAAGGCTAAAATCAATCGGGAGCAGACTCCCGCGGAAGGGTCGGCTGCTATGGCTGCTGGGGTCTCCGGGGGCTCCCAGAGGACTGCTGGGTGTTCTCTAGGGAGGGGCGGTCCTAATTTTACTTTCAGTTGCTATGACAACTGAAAACAACGCAGGGAGGAAAGCATCCATTTCATCTTATAGGCTCCACCGATGGCGTCAGGGCAGGAACTCAAGGCAGGAACCGTGGAAGCACGCTATGTGCTAACTTACTACTTCGGGTTTATGCTCAGCCAAATTTCTTATATAACCAGGACCAACTACACACACAGCAGGCTGAGCCCTCCTGTATCAACTAGCAATCAAGAAAATGCCCCACAGGCACGCCACAGGCCAATCTGATGGAGGCAATGTCTTAACTGAGGCTCCTCTTCCTAGGTGACTCTAGTGTCAAGCTGACATAAAAGTATAGGAAGGGACCTGCTTGAGGCCTGGGAGCAGCACTGAATGAGGGTCACACACAGAGCCACGCTCCCACAAGGGGATGCTGTCTCAACCTAAGGGACCACCCTGAGGACAAGGGCAAGTGTCTGCCTCACTGGCAGCTGCCGTGGGAAGCTGTGAAGTGATTTCTGGGGTCTCCAGGCTCACATCCAGGGAAGGGTCAGGTAGCATGAGATGGGTCAGGCATGGCCCAGCAGAGCACTGTAATGAAGCAAGTGAGACCTGCTGGCATCTTTCCTCCAGGAAACTACCTTCTGCCAGGGAGCTGTCACCTGCGGGAAAGGCACTCTCAGGGATGGATGTAGCAAGGAAACCCTTCTCATGTGTCTTTGTAAAGGTCTCAGAGCAAAAGAAATGCAAGCTAGATCCAAAGGCATGAAGCAGGGCTGTCTAGTTATGGGACTGTCGGCCCACGCCCTCCCCCCTCAAAGCTTGGGAGCCAGGACATAAGACCAGATCACTGTAGACTAATCCCTCTCTCTTCTCTTTTGCTCTTTCTTTCTCCTTCTCTCCTTCTCTCTCTCTCTCTCTCTCTCTCTCTCTCTCTCTCTCTCTCCCTCCCCCCTCTCTCTGTGTGTGTGTGTGTGTGTGTGTGTGTGTGTGTGTGTCTGTCTGTCTGTCTGTGTTTGTGAGACAGAGGCAGAGAAATGGGTAGCTCAAGGTGTCAGTTCTGTCAACCTTGTTTAAGACAAGGTCATTATCAGGCTAGCTGGCCCACGAGCTTCTGGGAATTCTCCTGTCTCTGTCTCCTGTCCTGGCATAGGAGCATTGGGGTTGCTGTCCTGTGCTTCAGCATCAGCTTTCCAGGGCATGCTCCGAACTCGGGTCTCTAGGCTTACAGGGCGATCACTTTGCTAACTGAGCCACCTCCCAACTCTGTCCATGAGGGTTCTTCAGAGATGTGGCACAACAGCACTAAGAGACAAGCCCCGGCGAGCCTGGAGGTTGGGAGTAATGAATGCTCTTACCATTCACTTTCCCTCAGAGTCATACAGGAAATGTCCTGGACTCTACTGCAGCCCATAGTCTCCTACCCAAGATCCTTCTGCACACATCCCTTCTCAGCCTGAATGACTGTTTTTATTTGTTTGTTTGTTTGTTTTTGTTTATTTGTTTTGTTTTGCTGCAGGCACTCATGAGTAGCAAGCAGGTTCTCAAGCCTAATGGGACCAGATGCATCTCTAACCAGACAGGGAATGTGTCTGGATTTGTCACCCGACAGGTACAGATGTTGCAGGCTCTCATCCATGAGACAGAATCACTCCTGGGATTGAGAGGCTCAGGCACATCTGTCAGAGGCAAGCCACACGCTGCTCCAGACACTGAAAACAAATCCCCTGCAGCGGACTGGGGTCAGTGGGCCCAGCACTCTATCAGTGGAATAATGAGAGTGGAGCTGAGGAGAGATAAGCCCCCTTCTGTGTGGAGCCTCCTGTGGTTCCCTCCCATCATGCTCCAGGCACGCTTAAGGAAAGGGAAGGACAAAGTTTCTCAGACAGAGCAACTTCCCCTCCACCGCCTGCTAGCTGTTTGGCCCTCATGGTCAGATGAGTTCATTATAAACTCATTGCCTCTAGAAACGCACCTCCTTCCTCGACATGGCAAGCAGAGGGTGGAATTCTCTGCAAGGTCACTGCAGTTTCTGTACTCCTGCAGGTTTTGGGTCCTAACTGCTAGGTGACACGTGGTTCAGAGCCTCTAGTCCTAGGCCAGGGAGGTGGCTCTGTGCACAAAATGCAAGCTTTTATGCATGCATGAGAACCTGACTCCAGATTCCCATGTAGAGACCATGGCATGACTGCGCACACACCTATAATCCCAGTCCTGGAGGATCCTAGGGACTCACTGATGAGCCAGTCAAAGTGTCTAGCTTGGAGTTAAATGAGAGAGACCCTGTCTCAAAAATTAAGGTGGAGAAGTGATTGAAGAAGACATCTCAGTGTCAACCTCTGGCCTCTGTAGATGCTTATACACATGTACACAGAGGCGCGCACACACACACACACACACACACACACACACACAGAGAGAGAGAGAGAGAGAGAGAGAGAGAGAGAGAGAGAAAGAGAGAGAGTCAGAACCCTAGCACTTGTTAGTTGTATAACACTGGGTAAATAGAAGGGTCTTCCATTCTCTAATCCTCTTCCAGAAACATCCTTACAGACACACCCAGAGGTGTGCTTCCTAGGTGACTCAGAATCCCATCACGTTGGTAATGATGATAAACCATCACACTCACCTACCTTTCTGAAAGTCAGCTAGTACTCGTTTGCAATAGAGAGGTTCCGAGGCACCTACGAAGTCTGGTCCACGTACAGGATTAGTGACCTATGAAGCCTAGCCTCCAGTGAGCTCTTGCGGAGTGTTGGTGGCTCTTTTTTGTTGGATATGCTGGTTGGAAGACTCCACCATCTACCTGCTTGTGTTAGAAGCATTCTCGTAGTTTCTCTTTTGTTTGTTAGTCAGGGAATGGGTGAGAGAAGTTCTGAATCCAGCCAGGATTCTGGCAAGGAATATCCATTCCACAAATCTACAAATGATAGATGAGATGCTGCCAGCCAAGGATACATGCTTCTGCAGAGCTGTGTGGGACTTCACATCAGCAGACTTTTGTTCACGGTGAGGACTTGGGCCAAGGGACTCCTCTGCCCTGAGTCTTTGTTTTCCCATCCATGATAGGGGTTACAAACATAAATAAGACAGTTTATTCCTGTACCCTGTTTGCTGACATTTAGCTCTTCAAACTCTTGGAATGTCTGAGTGTCTTCTGCTTTGCTAATGAATGATGTCTGGTGCTCTAGGATGGCCTCAAAATAGGGGCTGGTTGCCAGGGAGTCAACCATGAGCTCAGAAGGATAAAACTGTCAGTCCCAGCCCTGGCCACTGCAGAGAAGAGAGGACATGGAGGCCAAAGTGATCACGGATGGCCAGTGACTTCTCCAGGCACACCTGTTAACGGATTCTTCTCACCTTATGACTAGTGCTGTTCCACACTTTCCTCTTGCTGCTGCAAGTGGCCTTGGTGGTCTAAAGAACAAAAGGGGTGGTGTGAGAAAGCTTCCCAGGTTGGTGAACATACCCACATACTGGGAATGTTGTGTGCCCAGGATGGAAGGACACAAAAGCCATACACCCCATTCTACCACATCTTTTACCCTACATATATCTCTTCCACTAAGGGGCTCCTAAGCTGTATCATTTTGTGGTACATTGTCAACAAGGTAGATAAGCGAGTTTGTTTATCTCCATTGTTGACTTGCTGTGATTTGGGGTCACCTAGGAGACACACCTC